AAAAGTCGACGAAAAAAAAGCTGAAAATTTGAAAATTATGAACGTTGGAAAATACAAAAAGGGGATTTTTAACTTTTTTGGTTATTTTTAAGAAATAAAAATTAAAAACACAACTGTCAAACAAAACAATTAAACAAATTAACAATGCATTTTTTTAATAAAAACACATCAAGTTTTTCTTGACTTTTAATTTTTTTAGTTAAAAACTTTTTTAGTAAAATTTTGTTAAAATGCGTAGAAAAATTACGAAACTAAGTAGAAATTAACGTTGTTTTAAATGGTTTTGCACGATTTATTACTTTTTGGAAAATATATCGTCAAAATAAATACAAAAATCACCAAATTAGACCAAAATGTTTGTTAAAAAGTCACTAAATTAAGTTGAAAATTTGCTTTTTTCGACCGTTTAAAAACGTTTATGAGCTAGAAATTCAGTTTTTTGACAAAATTTTGTCAACAAATAAACCAAAACAATTCCAAAATTAATATTACTTTTGTCGTTTTAATTTATTGTATCAACTTATTTTATTATTCTCAAGTTTCTGCTCAAATTTGGAATATTTCGCTCATTTTTTACCTTATTTTTAAGCAAAATTTTTTTCCATAAAGCCAAAAAGTCGCTCAATTTTTGCCTTTTTTAAGCGTTGAAAAAAAGTTTTCTCTCAGAAATGGATTGTTTATTGCAAAATTTTGCCCTAACAAGTAAAAAAATTACCAAATTTCCAGGTCAAAAATTACATTGTTTTTGCTTTTTTTCAAGCGTTTAAGCATGTTTTTGAGATAAAAATATTTTTTTGTTGGATTTTAATGAAAATAAAATAATTTGGTTTTTTTTTGTGTTTTTACCTTTTTTGTTGCTTTTAAGAAATAAAAAATAAAAACAGAACAAAGCATTATTTTCGTTTTCATTTTATAGTAAGATTTTACCAAAAATTGACGTTTTAAACTGTTTTGCACGATTTTTACTCAACAAACGTCAGCAAATTACACTGTTCTACTTACCCTCTTAATTTTATTTTAATAATTTTAATTCTAAATTAATTTTTAAAATTTAACAATTTCGTTTTTTTTTTAATTTACCCAAAGTGTATTTTTATATTTTTTATTCATCCTATTTTGTTTAGTTAACGAGTCGCCCATGTCTGACAGAAACGTCAGCCAATTACAGGGACCTACTTTACCGTCTTAATTTTATTTTCAAATTTGACCATTTGATTTGATTTTCCAGATTCACCCCCGGACCGCTGTTGGTTTCCTGGAGCCCCTCGAGAAGAACAAAGAGTACGCCCTCTTCACCCCCCGCGACAAACGCATCCCTAAAATAAAAATACCGAAAATAAGTTGGCCTAGTGGCTTCCAAACCAAGCCCCAACTCTACCAAGACATTCTTTTTATCGTAAAAATAACGGAATGGAAGGACGTTAAATATGCCCTAGGCACAATTACCGAAAATTTAGGCTTGAATGGTGACCTTAAAGTCGAATCTTTGGCGATTTTGCGCGAGTTTTGCCTCGATCCAACACCATTCGGCGACGATATCAGGGAGTTTTTACCGAAAAATTGCGAAATTTCCACGGGGGAATTACAGAATCGCGAGGATTTGCGAAAGGAGTGTGTTTTCACAATTGATCCAATCACAGCGCGTGATTTAGATGACGCATTATCGTGCAAGGAGTTGACCAATGGGAATTTCGAAGTCGGTGTTCACATTTCCGACGCTTCTTATTTCCTACCCGAAAAAACACGATTGGATGAAATTGTCAAAAATAAAGCAACGACGATTTACATGGTCGATAATGTGTATCACATGCTTCCGGTGGAGTTGTGTCTCCATTGTTCCCTACTTCCGGGGGAGGATAAACTCACTTTTAGTGTTTTTTGGGAGTTGACACCAACTGGGGACATTGTCAACTTTAGGATAACACGATCGGTGATCAATTCGTGTGTACAACTCGCCTATGAACATGCACAAATGATGATTGATGATCCATACCGGAAGTTTGAGGATGAACTTCCGGAAATTCACAACGGGTTTACTTCCGTTGATCTCACGAAACGAGTCAATGATTTGCAAAAAATCGCCGTGTGTTTGAGGGAGAAACGGAGACAAAATGGGGCTTTGAAAATCGATCAAATTAAAATTGGGTTTGCTTTGGATCCAGCCACTGGTGAGCCGAAGGAATTTTTTATTTGTGAGAATAAACCGGCTCATAGATTGATCGAGGAATTTATGCTTTTGGCTAATATGACGGTGGCGAAGTGGATCAATGAGGCCTATCCAGATTTGGCCTTTTTGAGGTGATTTTTTTTACAGGAAACTACTTTACCGTTCTAATTTAATTTTTAAAATTTGACAATTTCGATTTTTTTAAATTCATCCTCTTTTGTTTACTTAACGAGTCGTCCATGTCTGACAGAAATGTCAATAAATTACAGGGACTCACTTTACCGTTTTTTGCCACTTATTTTTATCCCTTTTGTTTATTTAACGAGTCGCCTATGTCGCAATTCCCAGAATTTGATTATTTGGATTTTTCAGGATTTGCCACAAAGGCAAATTACAGCAATCTACCTTACCGTCTTAATTCTATTTTAAAATTTTGATCATTTGGAATTTTTCAAATGCAAATTACAAGAATCTGTTTTACCGTTTTAATTTTATTTTCAAAATTTGACAATTTGTATTTTACCAGATTTACCATAAAGAGGACATTTTTTTAATTCACTTTTTTGTTTAGTTAACGAGTCGCCTATGTTTTATAGAAACGTCATAAATTACAGGAATCTACTTTACTGTCTTAATTTAATTTTTATTTGATTTTTTCGATTTTTCTAAATGTACAACAGTGCGTGTTTTTATATTTCTTATTTCATCCTTTTTCTTTACTTAACGAGTCGTCTTTGATCGAAACGTCAACACAAATTACAGGACACTACTTTACCGTCTTAATTTAATTTTAAAAATTTGACAATTTTGATTTTTCTAAATTCATCCTCTTCTTTTGTTTACTTAACGAGTCGCCCATGTTTGACAGAAACGTCAATAAATTACCGGGACCCACTTTACCGTCTTTTATCACAAAGGAAGTATATTTATTTTACCCCTTTTGTTTATTTAACGAGTCGCCTATGTCAGACAGAAGAGTCAGCGCAATTTCCAAAATTTGATTATTTGGATTTTTCCGGATTTACCACAAAGGGAGTTTTTTTTAATTTACTTCTTTTGTCTATTTAACGAGTCACTTATGTCTGATAAAAACGTCAGCGCAAATTATAGGAATCTACCTTACCGTCTTAATTTTATTTTAAGATTTTGATCATTTGGAATCTTTCAAATACAAATTACAAGAATCTACTTTACTGTCTTAATTTAATTTTCAAAATTTGACAATTTGTATTTTACCGGAGGATTTTTTTTCACTTTTTTGTTTAGTTAACGAGTCGCCTATGTTTCATAGAAACGTCATAAATTACAGGAATCTACTTTACTGTTTTAATTTAATTTTTAAAATTTGATTTTTTCGATTGTTCGAAAATTGAAAATATTTTATTTTGACAAAAATGCTCGAACAGGTCATTTTTTTTGTTAAATACAAAATTCTCAACTTGATTTAAAACTGTTTGATATTATTCCACTTTTTGCATTTTTTTTTCGAAATTTTTATGTAATTAATATTTTGGTGTTGTTGTCTAAAAAAATAGGGGTTTCTATTTAAGAAAAATGTCGATGACGTCATTACTCAAAAGCCAAAAAGTGTATTTTTTAAAAAGTAAATTGATGTTTGAGCATTTTTGTCAAAACAAAATGATTTCAGTTTTTTAATAACATTATTGCATAATTTTGCCGCTCACTTTTATTTACGTTTCATAGAAATTACAGAAATCTACTTTACCGACTTAATTTTAAAGAATATATATAATAATATATATATCTACTTTATCGTGGTACTTTTAATTTAAATTTGCCTATTTAGATTACACGAGGCCCCCAAGCCGACCATGATGACCGAACTTCAAAGAAACCTCGAGACTCTCGGCCTCCACATCGACATTTCCACTTCGGGGGGCATCCAGTCCTCCCTCAACAAGTACATCAGTGAAGACTACTGGGGAAAGGCCCGTATGATCGTCCTCAACCACTTATTGGCCAAGCCTATGAAAAGGGCGCGGTATTTTTGTGCCGGGGCCCTTGAGGAGGACCTCGATTTCAGTCATTATGCCCTTAGTATACCCATCTACACCCATTTTACGTCCCCCATACGTCGATATGCTGATATAATGGTACATAGATTGCTCGCGGCTAGTTTAAATTACAGAGAGAAACCCATGTGGGTGTCTGAGGAAGTCGCAACGGTTGCAGAAACGTGTAATAGACAGAAATATCACGCAAAGCGGGCTGGGGAGGCGAGTTGTGACTTGTTTTTAGCGCATTTTGTCGAGAGGAATCAACCGGTGGTTGAAGATGCTGTGGTTGTGGATACGAAGGAGAGGTCCATTGATGTTATTGTGGTCAAGACGGGGAGTGTTGTCAGGATTTACACCAATGTAAGTTTTTTTTTGAAAAATTTGTTTAAAAAATTTTATATGTCAAAAACTTTTGACATTTGACATGTCAAATTTGACATTTTAATGATACTGATGATCCTGTATATGGTTTTTTATAATTATTTAGTAATAGCCTGTAGCAAAAAACACCCTGTATAATGTTTTGTTTGTTAGAATTTTGGGGAGAACGTGACGTGGAAAAGTGAGGAAATTAAAATAAGAAGGTCGGCCGATGAGGAAAATGCCAAGAAGATGTGGAAGATTTTTGTGAAATTTCCAAAGACTGTCAAAGAGCCGGAAAGTTTTATGGTGTTGGAAATTTTTACGTTGGTAAGAGTGGAATTGACAAGGAAGCACAAAACGAATAAATTAGAAGCGAAGTTGGTGAGGCCAATACAGCTTGTGTCACCGTGAAATTGAAAAAATTGTAGTGTTTGATTGTTTTTTAAAATCATGTCTGTAACGAAATTAAATAAAAATTTGACTATTTATTTTTTCGGATTGACCAGAAAGGGAGATGTATTTTACTTCTTTTGTCTATTTAACGAGTTGTCTATGTCTGATTGAAACGTCAGCACAAATTACAGGAATCTACCTTACCGTCTTAATTTTATTTTTGATTATTTGGGGTTTGTTAAATGCAAATTACAAGAATGTATTTTAGCGTCTAAATTTTATTTTTGAAATTTGACAATTTGTATTTTATTTTTTTATTTCACTGTTTTGATTAGTTAACGAGTCGCCTATGTATCACAGAAACGTCATAAATTACAGGAATTTACTTTACCGTTCTATTTATTTTCAAAATTTGATTATTTGGATTTTACCAAATTCACCATAAAGAGGGTATTTTATATTTTTTATTTCAACGCTTTTGTTTATTTAACGAGACACTTTTTTGTCTATTTAACGAGTCGCCCATGTGTGACAAAAGCGTCAGCGCAAATTACAGGAATATAATTTACCGTCTTTATTTTATTTTTAAATTTTGATTTTGAAACCCTCAAAGATTATTTCATTTCATCTTTTTTGTTTACTTAACGAGTCGCTAATGTCAGACAGAAACGTCAGGGTGCTCTTAATTTTATTTTAAAAATTTTAATCATTTCAATTTTTCAAATTCAAATTACAGGCATTTACTTTACCGTCCTAATTTAATTATTAAAATTTGGCATTTCAGATTTTTCTAAATTTACCCAGTAGATATTTTTTATTCCTCCTCTTTTGTTTACTTAAGGAATCGCCCATGTCTGGCAGCAAATTACAGGAATCTACCTTACCGTGTTAATTTTACTTTAATATTTTGATCGTTTGGATTTTTGCAAATGCAAATTACAAGAATCTACTATACTGTCTTAATTTTATTTTTGAAATTTGACAATTTGCATTTTTCCAGAGGATATCTTTTTATTTCACTTTTTTGTTTAGTTAACGAGTCGCCTATGTTTCATAGAAACGTCATAAATTACAGGAATCTACTTTACCGTCTCAATTTTATTTTCTTAATTTTTTTTCACATTTACCCTGGACCGCTGTTACTTTTCTGGATCCTGTACAGCTTGATTCTTTTATAATGATTGGTCTGTATCGTAAATTAAATAAAAAACCACCAAAACAATTAAAAATCGCCAATTGTAGCGATAAACTTTTACAGATATTTTTACTTTTTTACTAAAGAAACAACAAATATTTTAGTCTTGTAAGTTTCTTTGATCTCAATAAACTTTAAACACTTTCAAATTTGTATATTTATTCAACTTACGATTACATAAATAACAATGATTTTTTTTTTCAAGCAGCCACATCAAAAAATCGGTCAATAACCGCCGACACCTCATCAGGCTTATGCTTAATGTACTTTTCCGGATTTTTCGTAAACTGAACCCCTGCATACCTGCAAAAACCCTCAACTTGATTTTTTCACACCTCACATCTCTTACATGTTATAAAACGAATTATATTTCGGAATAATCAGCTCTTTATTATCCCTTTTAATACTCTCGCGCAGCTCAACATCCGGAATCGAATATCCGCGTTGCACTTTGGCGATATCCTCAATTTCCTTATTAAAACCCTGGAAAAAAAATCACTTTTCGAGTTTGAAAATAAAAAAAAAAAAAACTCACGGCAAATTTCTCCTTAATTACGGCCCTGTCCTTATCCCGGAGCTTATCTCCGTGCAAAAGATTAACAGGCGAGTCATCACACCAGATATAATTCAAGAGTTTACCCCAACTTTGCGAATAAGCTTTTTTGTGTTCTTGAATCGAATTGTGATAATATTCCTCACATTTCGGCTCGGAAATTAAATATAATTCCAACAAAGTGCTCCGCTGTAGTGACTTTAAGACATAATTGTTGTTATTTAAACGAAAAATTGCTTTCAAGGCTGGATCACTATACTGTTCACTCTTACTAATCAAAGTGTGATTCAACTGTACTAAAACCTTCTCTAAAATTGAGAAAAAAAAACAACTTGACTTGAATTTAATCGCAAATGTTACTGATATAGAGGCCTAGAAGGGCTTTGTTGGTATCACTGGCCTTCAAACGGTCCAATTGTTTCGCATAACTGACATCCTGGACCAAAACCATACCTATAGTATCCGTATAGTCGAGCAACTGTTCCAAAAACATAATCACGTTGCTTGTGAGTTCGTGTACAGTCCCGTCGCTAGGCAACTGTGTCACCGAATCCGATCGTAAACTCTCGATAAAATCCTCGAGTGCTTTCGCTCCCTAGCAACCAATCAAATAACACGAAATGACACAATCAAGTCACCTCTCACCGTCGAATGTAACATCCCCAAAATGGCGTCAAATTTCGACTTGACATTCAAATCGCACTCTTCCACCGTTCGTTCAAACTCGGGTTTCAACGAACGCAATTGTTTCAAAATCGGAAAAACCACCAATACTGTGCCAAAATCATGTCGACTTATGCATTTCTTTGCACGTGAAACTATATTCTGAAAAAATCGAGTCAGCCTTGTTTGAGGTTTGAGGTTTGAGTCACATGACACAAACCTCGCCATCTTGAACAATAGTATCCATAGCCTCCCTGACTATCAATTCGAAAACACGTGGTTGATGTCTCGGTGCGATAATCCCCTTAATCAAGGCCTGCTCAATTTGCATTAGTTTATGTAGAGCAATCACGCACACTAGATAATTCTCCAATTCTTGCTCGTTATCAAACTCCTCCCCGTTATAGGCGGGGTCAAGTAAATGGGAGGAGGCACGTCGTGTGCCAAGTGTCAAACCCGTCGAATGTTCGAGTGTTTGTGACGCTTTTAGAAACATTCGATTGGCTTTGCGTTCGAAGGCGTGGTGGAGGCGGCGCGTCGACGGTTTGCGACTAGCTTCATGGCGATTTTGGAACTTAGGGCGCTAGAAATTTATTTTTTCTCAGGTTGGTACAATAGTACCAACTTACCAGCATTGGGGAACTAGCAACACCATGGACACTACCCCCACTGACGCTCTTCTGATGGTTGCGTAACATTGTCAAAGACCGTTGTAAAACAGCCCCACGGACTTTACCATAAACTGTTAAATATTCATCACGGCCGTTATCAAGTAACCAGTTGGCGATTTTGATCAAATAGGATTTAGTATGTTCGGGGATTTGAACTGGTGGGACCTTTTCGCGGTTATCGGAATTCTCGAAATTGATCAAATCGAGAAGAATGACCGGAAGCATAGGAGTGTTATACTTATCCAAAACTGTTTTAAACTCAGAGTTGAGTTTGTCGCTACCTTTGTGAAATAAAGTGGTCTAAAAAACGTTTTTGCGTTTTTCTAACCTCAAAAAATGATTGACTTACGACGTTTTCGAGTTCTACGCTTTGGGGGATGTGTTTCTCGAAGTATTTTTGTGCTTTTGCAAGTCGATTCAAGGAGTGAATATAATCGTCTAAATCAATTCCACTTTCGCCCGGTCCTTTCTCAATTACGCTCTCCACTTCACTTGAAACGTTGTAATAGCTAATGACATCGTCGAGAAATGTAAGAGTTTGGTCAATATCTAATAATTTGAGTCAAAGAAAAACATTCAAAATTGATTCTTGATACGTTTCAAGGATACTAATTTGTGACTTTTGCAAATTTTCTGTATCATTGTAGACAGGCAAAATAGTGTCCTCGAGTCGTGAGAGACGCTCCTCAAACGAATTTAAAATCGTATCAATGCCTTTCGTGATATGAGAGCTCTTTTTCAGTCGTTCTGTCAGTAAAGTGAGGTTGGATTTCTCCTAAAGACAAGATTAGGTTATATCACGGTTTCGAGTCACTCACCTTCTCTAATTTGCTTGTAATCTCATAAGTGCGTTCCTCGACGATATTCATGGTGTTTAATCGCAATTTTTGGGCGAATTACAGCTAAAATTGCATAATTACAATTAAAAATTGAGTAATTTGACATTCACGTCATTTGACACTATCAACAAACTTGACAACAACAAATCCCTAAATTATTAGAACAAATCGCTTTGTAGCGGCTCTTCTTTGTTCCTCATTGTGTTTAATCGCAATATTTGAGTGAAATACAACCAAAATTGCATAATTACGACTAAAAAACAATTATTGACGCCCATAAATCAACAAACTTGACAAACAAAAAATCCCCAAACAACAGAAAAATCAAAAATTTCTCTTGTTTGTCAACAATAAAATCGATTTTCCGATAAATCAGTCTAGACACGCACCGTTTCGTGATTCATGCCAGTCGCCCGTCAAATTTTTCACCCTAATTTCCCCCAAAACCACCCTAGTTTTCTCCGGTCGACTTGATTTAAAATCAATGAAACCGAGAGGGGATGAATTTTCACGATAGGGGAATTTGGAGTTGAGTTGGAGGAAAAGTGAAAATTGCAGGAGTGCAGAACGTGCGGCGTGTTTTTCTTTTATTTTTTCAGTATTTTTCAGGCGTTTTTGTTAATTGTGCGTGAATTTGTGCGGAAAATTCGTCCATTTTTTCAGTTTTAGTGTTAGGAAGTTGGCGACAACGATTCTGGTCACTCACCTGTAACAATAATAATAGTAGTAATAATAATAGTTGTAAAAATGCGCGGATTTTTTTTTATATTTGTGATTTTTAGTAAATTAGTCGAGACGCAAACCGGTCGATGCAGTTTCCGGTATTATGCTGTCACACTCGGCATGGCCTCATCGAGTGTCGCCCTCTACCACCCAGATCCTCCCTCATGCCCAATCATCCGAATCCGGGATCGAACCCGGACACATAGCGACAATCACCGGATCTTTGGCCTCGTTTCCGGATCACTATGATACGGATCTGGGGAGCGAATCGGACGAAGCCGAACTTAAACGAACACTTTTACGAGACGTAAGCCCCTTTCACACGCAACAAAAAACACAAACAAAACGTTTAATTGCAGCAATGGCGCCAGTTTTTCGACAAGGTATACAGAGTGGATGAGTATGGCAATTGCTTTTTTCCAATGTGGTGAAAAATGCAGTTTCCATACTCTAGAATCACGTTTGAAATGATTTTAATCGCGTTGGGTTGGCAGTACGACCCGGAGGGTTTCGGGGAAATCCCCTGGGCCGACTTGATTTCAGCCATGTCCGATCCGGAATTTCGCCACCGTGTCAGCACCGGAAAACGCGAAATCCTTTTAGAGAAAGCCAGGAGTGCCACAACACCGGCGATTACATTCCAAGACTTCGTCAACGTGGTGAGTGATTTTGATTCTATTGTGTTGGTAACGCTGGTAGAAAGACCGCCCACACTAATGACATTTCTCAAATTCCTCGTTAATGTGACAAGCAATAAATAACCGGTCACAATAGTGAAATCCCCCTATTGTTGGGGATTTTCGGTCGGTGTGGTACGCCTGAGGGATGACGTCTCATTTGACTTTTGTTATGTCACTTTTGTTTTTATCGCGGCTTGCTCGATGAACTCGGCGAATTCTTCGCATTGCGACGACGGACGATTTCAAGGCCGAACGCGGGTGGTGCACCTTCATCAGGGGCCCACTACCTACCTGAAACTCACTCTCGCTATCTGCGAGATAAGCTCATTGCGAAAATTATTGCACCGATGGATGTGTGGTATTCAGGAACTGGTTTCAAGAGAGCAAAAAAATCAAAACACCGAGACGATGAAGGAAAAAAGAGACAGTCGGAACGCGCTGATTAGTCAATTTAATTTAATCGCAACGATAGCGAATAAATATCAAGTGGCCGCGTAGCAAAATGACACTAGAAATGTCAAAAAATGACATTTATCTGTCATCCATAAGCTACCATGATCGGAGTTTTTTTTGTTAAAAGCCCCAATCAGGCGCTAAATCGTTGTTATTCGGCCCTGTCCTAAAGCAAACAAATCCCCGACCCATCGCAAATAATTACAATTCGGCTCTGGCGTGATTAGAGAGCCGGCTTTTGGTCAGAAGTCGGCGCCGACTGCGTTTGAGGTTATGTCGTAATTTGACAATGTGGAAAATTTGACAGGTAGTGTGACCTTGATATAGGTGGTCTGCTCATTAGTGATTGTTGCGGAAATACCTTTCTTGTGTTATACAAATTGATTTATTATTCTTTTTCTGGACGGATAATTGAAACTGTCATTTTTAATTTCGGACGGAAAACTAATTTATTTAAGTTTTTATTTCGCTGCTTCAGTTTTAATTAATTTCGTTTTTTTTTGTGTTTGGTGACGGGAAGTTTGGAGAGCAATTATATGCAAAATTTCATCACGAAAGGAAACAATACGGAGCAAGAAACGATAATTTAATTAAGACGGCAGGAAACTTGCACGGGCTTGTTAGCTTGATTTAGTGGTACCGTAGCGTGGTACCACCGTTTTTTGGGTGATACAGGGTGTTCGGGCAAAAAATTTTGATATTTGACCATTTTTTTTCCATAATTATTCAGTCAATAGATTTTTTTACATTTTTTCATGTTCCTGGTGTCTTATCTTACTTGGCATTTTTCTCTGGGGCGCGATTTTTGAAACACCCTGTATTTTCCATAAGACGACTGAACGGTGGTTTAACACCCTGTAAAAGTGAATCACAGTTAAGTAGGTAAAATTTATACAAATTATTAAAACGTCAAAATCCATACTTTTGAAAATGATTTAGGGTAAATCCGGGAAAAATTGACATCATTTTTTATGAATTTAAAAGAATGTATTTCTATTTTTATATATGAAGAAAACATTTATGGTTTTTCAAAATTTGATTCAGCTTTCCCGGAATTACCCTATAAGTTAGGTGTTTTAAAGTGTGGTCCATAATTCCCGGACTTGCCCTATAAATTACTCATGGTTGGGTACAAATATGAACAATGGATGTGAAAGTGAAATTGTGTTTTTGTTTAAAAATACAGGGTGAACATAAAATAACGCACAAAATTCATATTCTTATGGAATCATTTTTCCAACACTTATGACGTCATTGGTTTTAAGTAATGACGTCATCATTATTGACATTGACATTTTTGTTTACAGTTTTTGGTTCCCGTTTCTAGCTAAACAATTTCAAGTAAGATATACAGGGTGTCCTAAGAAAAACGTTAAAAGTTGTCGGGGGTGATTTTTTAGATTAATTATGAAATTATCGCTCTAGCTTCTTTAGGAGGCATTTCCGGACTTATGTCCATAGGAACTTTTTTTCCTATCTTGACCCAAGGAATCGCCCTACCAATTTTTTAATGTTTCTTTTTCGGACACCCTGTATATTTTTGATTTTATGGGATTGTTTTAAAGAATCACAATCGGTGGTAGCATTGGTATTTTCGGCTCCCTACATAGCATTCCGTTGTGAAATGAGATTATTTTGAATGTGGAACCCCCTTATTTGCATTGTTTGTTCGTTCCTTGGTACACACAAATCCAACAATGCCACTTAATGCCATTATAATTTTCCATGCGGTCGGTCTTAATGGTCGTTAATCGTCATGAATGCGATTTCGGTCGAAAATCTCCTTTGTCATCGGACATTTTGACATTTTCCACCCAAAAATTCCGTGTCATTAGTCGCTAACAAGTGTAACAATCCGATGAATGGAAGATTTACGTCTTTATTTTTTCGGCTAGTTTGAGGTAGTCGTTTTTGTTGGGGTAATCTTCCGAGTGTGTTTACACATTCCGACCGATTTTATGCAAAATATGCACGAGACCGGTGCACGAGTGCTCTAATACAGGGTGTCCTAGCGAGTTGGAAAAGGCCATTTAATGGTAAAATTTAAAAAAATTGAATACGACATTGATAGATACTAATCTAGTGCATCACCTAAAATCAATTTCGACCATACAGCGTGTCCCAAAAATAAGCTATGATACTAACTTGGGTTTTTTTAAATGAAACACTCTATGTTTCTTTGCATTTTTGGATGTAGCTTTTTAAAACAATGTTTTTACGCTAAACTTGTATTAGTCGATTTCGCTTAGTTTTAGAAATAAGATGTTTTTTTTGACGAATGCACTTTTTAAAAATTTATTACACAAAAATTAAGACAGCTAGAACAAATTTTTTCTTACTTCTGCAAAGAGAAAAGTACAGAATATAAAGCTGTAGCAATTTTTTAGTGTTTTGCATTTGTAAAGATTAACAAATTAAGAATTTTGTTGAAAGTTAAATAACTTAAAAAATTTAAATGGAACACCCCATTTTTTATTTTTGCATCTAATAGATTGATAAATTGTCTATCTAAAAAAAATAACTTTTAATGTCTAGAATTGATAAATGAAAAGATATTTAACATTCAATATTAATTGTAGCAACAATGATTATCAATATCTGAGCATTGTTGATACTATGGCTTTTATGATTTATCCAGAGATTGTAAAAGTCGTTATAAATACTAAAATTCGAATTATTTTATTGTAAAAATAAAGAATAATGGATTCAGTTTAACACAAATGTGATTATTAAATGATATTTCTTCCATCTCTTGTGCAACTGTGCACTTTTTGGCTACTGAAACAATAGTTTTTTTTTTATGTTTAACGTTAAATATCTTTTTAGTTATTAATTATAAACACCTAAATGTAAATAATTTTAGAAAGACAATTTAATAATCTTTTAAATGCAAAAACAATAAATTTAATTTTTTTAAGTTATTGAACTTTTAACAAACGCCTTCATTTTTTTATCTTTGCAAATGCGACACAGTAAAAAAATGTTACAACCTTATAGCTTGTACCTTCTTCTATGCAGTAGTAAAAAAATAATATTTCTAGATTTCTTAGTTTTTGTGTACTAAATTTTCAAAAAGTGCATGTTTTTGTCAAAAAAAAACGTCGCAAAATCGACCAATAAAAGTTTAGCTTAAATACATTGTCACAAAAATCCACATCTAAAAACGCTTTATTTAAAAAAAAAAACACAAGTTTGTATTGTAACTTATTTTTGAGACACGCTGTATAGTTGAAAATAATTTTATGCGATGGACTAGATTAGTATTTATCAATGTCTTATAATTTTTTTTTAATTTCACCATTTAAAGGTCAGTAATGGGCTTTTTCACCTCGCTGGTACACCCTGTATAATGAAATTCGGGTATGAAAATCCCGTTATAATTTCCAGATAAATATGTCGCTCGTGTTGCCGAAAATATGTTTCGGCTTGTTTTTTGTCTGTGTGAAGCTACGACACGTGATGGTTTATTCATGGCCGACTATGAAAAATATAGAATTGAAAAGTTGAACAAACGCTGGCAGCATATCAATAAATAACCCATCACGACATGTCATTTCGTCGGTTTTTCGGTAATTTATTTGATGGTCGCCGCCAGTGGCGTACTGAGGGATTTTTAAATGAAAATTTTCGCTTTGTTAAAGGTGTCGACAGTGTAGGTGGTCTGTTTGTAAAGACGGATTCGTCTCGCTTAATGTCCATTTCATGATTTGTAGAATATTTGTGCCGTTGCTAATAAATTTATTATGTCGGTGTGTATGTATGGAAATAAAATTTGTTTTTGTGGTTGAGTGAGGACACAGCTGATGCGATAAAGCGGCGTATCTTTCGATATCGTCGTCAGACTTTCCGGCCTGATGGCCACTAGGGCTCCCACCTGCCACTCTTCGTCGTGCCCAACTTGACCTACCGCTTACAGACTCAAATCAGCCTCAACAGCAACTTTATAATCGTGCAAATGCTCAATTATCTTACTACGATATACGAGAGCGATGCGCTTCGACAGACACGAGACGAATTAACGATCCGAATTATTAGCATTAGCGCCGACAACAAGTTTTAGACTTTTTTTTGTTAATTTTTTGCATTTCGGTAAAGGTTAAAAGTGGCGTTTGGATTTTCCAAGGGCCAAAAAAATATTTATTACTCTTAAAACCTGTAGGAATAAGCA